ATGAATAAAAAGAGTATAGTTTGTAAAAAAATTTTATTTCTCTACTTTATTCACGCCGTGAAATATTTTGTTGTAAAAAGTCAGTCTTATTCTTATTTTCAATCTTAATTTCCAACTCTGAAAGATTTCTTTCCCTCATATCATACAGACACAGCACATTCCTTTATGGATAAGTCTTTAGAAATTATTCTTTTAACCGTCGTAATCCATGATTCAACCAATACCATCAATCATTTTCACTAGAATAAATGAATAAAAAAGAGTATAGTTTTATAAAAAAAATCTCTACTTTAAAGTAGTAGTAAGGAAACTATTAAATGGTGAGAACAATGCCCGAAACCTCACTTTGTGGTAATAGGAATGTCTGGAATCGTATGGTACGTCTGCCCTGTTATGGAATGTTGAGAATGGGTATGGAACGTCTGAAATGTTATACCACGTCTAGTCTTTTATGGAATGTTGTAGAATGTCTGGAGTGTCTACAATGTTCTAATGCACCTGATTTATTATAGAATGTCGTGAATGTGTATCCCCAGTTTCATTACACAGATATATTCAAAAGCTATGTACGTGAAGAAAACGTAAACCTCGTCATAAGCTGATGAAGAGATCGAGCAGTTATCTAAGTATTTGTCTATCATCTTCCTTTTCCATCACATGCAACACTGACCCCTATCTCAACGACCATGTTACGCTAGTAGTAGAACAAATATGAAATATGGCTTTGAAAGGAATCACTGCAATTGTATTGCAACAACAAGGAAACGCGTGTCGACAACAATGTTAGATTCAAATGTTAAGTACACCACAACCACAGCTGGCGGAATGTAGCACATGGTGAACAGTTTCCACGACCTCTCGGTGAATCACAGTCTATATCTATTACGTCCACAACCCTCTCTCTTATTCAATCATGAGTCACTGATTCGCGCTTGGGAAAAGAAGCAATATTTTTCTTTCACATCTTTGGATTATTTTATATTTCCTGATACAGTGCGCGTGTACACGTTTTTTTCCATTAAAAAGCAGCTTGTTCGTTGTTGGACATCGCTTGAACTCACACACGCTATACAGCTGATGGGTTGTTAAGTACGTATTCAATCACAGAGATAGAATCGACTTAATCGCCTCGTTTTGAAGTAAACATACTACAGCGACTGTTGAACATTGAAATAAACTATGTTTAAAAGTTAACGATCATTCCAGTTTGGTTCTTGGCTTAAAGTGGAAGCAATATATTCACCGTCTCCCGTTGAGGTTCATGTTTACTTCCTGTTTTTTGTAACTGAACCAAAATTGTACAACATGTCATCTCCCGATGGAAAGTGCCTCCTAGATGTATTGGTGAGATCTGAGGTTAATCGTCAAGTTGCTGATGAACGTGGAAGAGGCATATGTATCAGACCCTTTCACAGGGAAGACGCTGTAGTCGGAATTCTGGTTGGTTTACTGATGTTAATGGGGTTACTATTTCGAATTGGAAAAATAAAACTTCACAGTAAATAGACAGTGAACTATTTTTTGACGACCCTCCTACTGAACCAGACCGCCTCCGTGGTCTTGTGGTAGAGCGTCCGCCCGGAGAGCGGAAGGTCCAGGGTTCGATCCCGGGCCGCGTCATACAAAAAGACGTTAAAAGATTGTACTTGTTGTTACCCTGTCTGGCGCTCGGCATTAAGGGGCTAAAACAAGGACTGGTCGGCTCGGAGTCAGTATACTGTGTCTGAGTGGGGTATTCATGTTAAACTGCGGCATGGTATCTCAGTGAGCTAGCACTATAAATCGGCATCAGTCCGGACTAGTACAAGCAGCCACACACACACATACACGTGCATGCACGTCGCTATATAAGTGCAATAATCTTGGACGCGACGTTAAACCCAATTTCACCTCACCTCCTACTGAACCAACCCATCAGTCCGCAGTGGATCAACGCTTTTTCACAGTGCTCGAACACATAGTTTGTCTTATCCTATTCAACACGAGCTGTCGTTTGTCATAGCGCAAATGGCACAGTACTTGACGTGAGACAGTTTCTGAATGAGAGACCAACAATAAAAGGTTTAACTCTTACTCAGGGCGAATGGAAAATGATATTACGTCTCCTTTACCTTTACGTTACCTTTCATCCGTGCACAAATCAGATCCATGAATGAACGGTCAATGAATAACCAAACACTGCCTGAATGATCTCCACAAACAATTACATATTTAGGCTATCAACATAGAATATAGCACTCGAACAGAGTTGTAGTGATATGTACTCGAATAAAAATACTTTCATGTAAATGATAAGAGGAATTGCTCATTACTCCTTTTCCCACGATAGTCGAGACACTGTTACCTCCATCCAATATGTGTTTAAGGTAAAGTGCATGTACGTGTGTGTGGTGTGTGTGTGTCTTGTGTAAAAGGTGCCCTTCGTTGTTGTGAACGAAGCCTTTAGTGAAACCAAGAGCAACTTCCCTCTTGTCTCTCATCAACAGAATAAACAGAAGGGTTGCTTCTTGCAAGTTTCAGTTACATTCAAGTATTGCTGCTGATTGGACATCACTGTAAGAAAACATGAAGACAAATAGGAAAAATTAGAGACGTTCAGTGGATATCTTCGAGTCGGGTGACCTATTCACAGGAAGGGGCGCTCCTCCACTGGTAAAGACAAGAAAACACACCAAATCCAAATCAATCAAAAAGATGAATGTCAAGACAAAAGCCTCTCGACAGGCTAAACAATCAAACGAGTAAAGGCTAGAGTAAAGGCTGAACGTAACAGGAAGAACCGAAACCACCACCGGAAGAAATGGAGACAACTCTGATGAACTGATGTAGTGCTCTGTTGTTGTAATACATCTTCAGTCACACATAGAGTGGGAACCTGACTCTTTTGACACTGTTTCCATACCCATTCTCAACATTCCGTAACAGAGCAGACGTACCATACGATTCCAGACATTCTACAACATTCCAGACATTCCATAATAGACCAGACGTGCCATACCATTCCCCACATTTCAGACCTTCCTATTACCACAAAGTGAGGTTTTAGGCATTGTTCTCCCCATTTACTAGTTTCCTTACTACTACTTTAAAGTAGACTCTTTTTTATTCATTTATTCTAGTGAAAATGATTGATGGTATTGGTTGAATCATGGATTACGACGGTTAAAAGAATAATTTCTAAAGCCTTATCCAAAGAGGAATGTGCTGTGTCTGTACGATATGAGCGAAAGAAATCTTTCAGAGTTGGAAATTAAGATTGAAAATAAGAATAAGACTGACTTTTTATAACAAAATATATCACGGCGTGAATAAAGTAGAGAAATATCACAGCGTGAATAAAGAAGAGAAATATTTTTTTTTATAAACTATACTCTTTTTATTCATTAATTCTAGTGAAAATGATTGATGGTATTGGTTGAATCAGCTTTTTTTCCATTCAAAAATGAAAGGTACATCTGTATTTTGTAAGACAAAACAAAAAATATATATTTCCTGGCAGTCGACTGTGATGATCAAATGGTGAATGAATTCGTACATTCTCCTCTTTGTCTCGATGACGACATTCTACTTATTCATTGAGTAGCTATATCAAGAGCTCGAGGACTGTTTCCTTCTTTCACGATAGGGTGACATTCCATTTGATGACGATCATTCTAGTATGTATCTGAAGGTATCTGAAGGTATGCAGATCCCACATTAACCGTCAGACCAAGGCCCATGGCAGTGACTGGCAGCCATCCGACAAGTTATAGGAAAGTTGTTCACCGTAAGTCATAATTTTCATTTATGTTTTTGCAAAACTGATGAGCGAATATCGCTTATCAACTATGATTTTATCGCAGCTAACATGACGTTTCAGGACGAAATACTCATGCTTTTTCGGAATACAATTTCGATTTCTATTCTCGTCACATTAATACTACATACTATCATATATAATTGTACAAAGCGATATTAGCGTGCCGCTGATCGTAACACCCATACCTTAACATAGACCTACGGCAGTCTTAGGTCTAAAGTTGTTTAGTACAACTTTTATTCATATTTTCAGATTGCCGAGGACTTCTTACCTGTCTGTGTAAATACATCACAAAAATCCAAAAACATGTAAATACATAAAATACCATGTAAATAAACCATATATATTACTACTAAAATCGTTCTTATCATTATTAAAAAGAGAGGTGCCGTTTTTGCCAAATGCGGTGCCGTTTTCGCCAGAGAAATCGGTGACGTTTTGCCGAGTTGCCGTTTTAGCCTGCACCCAGTCACCCGGGAACTAATAATTACACTAATGTAGGTCACATGATGATAACATATCGACTTTCAAACAATTACATTTATTCTGGTCAGAATATACGTATTTCTAGATTGGAAATGGACTACACATATAAAGCTAATATGAATGCATATACAGACATAAATAAATAATGTATAAAACAGTTACAAAACAGTTACAGTTGTTTTAATTTATGCTTCATTGGATTCATTTTCACGATTTATATTCATACACAAATTGAAAATTAATTGGGGGACTTTAATGAATTGAATGTGACTGGCAGCCATCCGACAAGTTATAGGAAAGTTGTTCACCGTAAGTCATAATTTTCATTTATGTTTTTGCAAAACTGATGAGCGAATATCGCTTATCAACTATGATTTTATCGCAGCTAACATGACGTTTCAGGACGAAATACTCATGCTTTTTCGGAATACAATTTCGATTTCTATTCTCGTCACATTAATACTACATACTATCATATATAATTGTACAAAGCGATATTAGCGTGCCGCTGATCGTAACACCCATACCTTAACATAGACCTACGGCAGTCTTAGGTCTAAAGTTGTTTAGTACAACTTTTATTCATATTTTCAGATTGCCGAGGACTTCTTACCTGTCTGTGTAAATACATCACAAAAATCCAAAAACATGTAAATACATAAAATACCATGTAAATAAACCATATATATTACTACTAAAATCGTTCTTATCATTATTAAAAAGAGAGGTGCCGTTTTTGCCAAATGCGGTGCCGTTTTCGCCAGAGAAATCGGTGACGTTTTGCCGAGTTGCCGTTTTAGCCTGCACCCAGTCACCCGGGAACTAATAATTACACTAATGTAGGTCACATGATGATAACATATCGACTTTCAAACAATTACATTTATTCTGGTCAGAATATACGTATTTCTAGATTGGAAATGGACTACACATATAAAGCTAATATGAATGCATATACAGACATAAATAAATAATGTATAAAACAGTTACAAAACAGTTACAGTTGTTTTAATTTATGCTTCATTGGATTCATTTTCACGATTTATATTCATACACAAATTGAAAATTAATTGGGGGACTTTAATGAATTGAATGTTTTATCTATATTTCAGACCTAGATTTGTGTGTTGTAAACAAGTACACCCCGTGCAAAGAATACTGAAATCAGGGACAATCCCATCCATATTTGCATGGACTGTGGCCACAACACCAAGGAAACCCCCCTTGATCCTATATGCCAGAACGTCGTAGTGTAAGAATTTACAACTATCCACGATAATAATATGTGTATTAACAAATGTCATAAATCAAGTTTGCATTATAAAGTTGTTTTTTTACTTTATTTATGAAACATTTATATTAAATCAGTATTATTTTGTTTGTAGTGTGAGGAGAACCTGATTCCAGAAGGAGGTGTGATGGACATGAGACTGAAGGGAATGATCATGCATCCCACACAGCATGAGGGGTGTGGGGCACAATTTGAAATAAAGGAGACGCAGGTCCATGTTGAACGACTTGAGAGGGAGTACCATCTACTCAATAATCATCTGGCTCTTGAGAATTTTGGAGTATCAAGAACTAGAACTTACCTGTTTCATGCAATATTATATTTCTTTACTGATTGTGATACTTTCAAGTGATGTTTTTATTTTGATAAACCCAGTGCCACCAAAATGTGTAGCATGTATTATGTTTGTTCTGACACTGTTTCCTTTGCTGGAAGACCCAGGACCATGCTGTTGATTGCACTGAAATAGAAATTCAAATCCCATTGTCCTTTGTCCTCAACTCAAAAGTTTTATACACTTTAGAAAACTAGCTGTCCACTCTGAAGCTTGATTGGTATAGCCCCTCATGATCATGTTTGTCTACAGGTGGTATGTCTGATGTTGAGATGACAAAGCTGTGAAGTGTTTGGTATTTTTCTTGATCTTGTTCAACCTCACTCAGAAACCCTCACTTCAAAAAAAATTTGAAAATACATTGAAGTTGTGAAGAAATACATGCAGATGTCAATTGTATGAATGCCCATTGGCCCATGTAATAGTTATTCTACAAATAGTTGAAACACTGACATTAAACAGATGTGCCAAGTGTGTTTGAGGGTAACCTTGTCTTACTCTAATGAGAAACACAAATAATTGGTCAAACAATGACAAAGAACATGGAAATCCACAGTGTAGTTTGTCAACATCAGTGCCTCTCTGAAACTGTGTCCAGGTTTGCATCTTTGAAGCAGTAGGATAGAGCCTCTGAAAAAAATGATCTAGCTCATTGAAATCAGCAAAACCTGTATAAAAATTGATGTCCACAGGACTGGTAGCGAAACGCCTTATAGAAAATAATTTTGCAGACTGAACATTTACACAATTTTGTAAGCGTTTTATCTCTGCATGTGCAGAAGCTAATTTTTCTTCAGTTGTGGCGTGTTGTTTCTCATGGTAATCATGATCTGCTGTTGGGTGGGGAGTAGACGTTTGGGTCGGGTCACTGGCCGTAGTCGAAGCCAGATCTGCAGTGTCAGCCGGTGTAGGCATTGTTGGTACACAGTCCATGCTATCCAACCTGAAAAGTGTAAGTCACGGAACATTTCATATTCCCTCGTAAATAAAGCATATCCTAGAATAGTAATTTTGGTACCATAAAATATATTATCAGGGATGTGAGCAGGTTTTCCCTCAAAAAGAGGAAAACTTTTGGGGGGTTCACATAAATACTTATACTTTTGATTGCATTTTAAGCAATTTGGTGCATTTTGGACAACACTCACACAAAGAAATGTAATAAGTCAATGACAATAGTCAAGTCAAATAAACAAAGATGGCGGATGCAGTAAAATTTTGAAGTTAAATCAGTACTTTTAAAAAATTGGACATAGCTTCCGCGCACCTGTCTGGGAGCAATACTGCCATTATTATAATAAGAATATATTTATACATTATTATAATCATAATACATTTACAGTGTCACACACTGTACAGTACATGCACTGGAATAGAAATGAATGATTAAATAAAATATTAATGTCATGACAAATTATGATTACAACTATTTTAGTGAACTGTATATTATATGTAATAATTGATATGATAATAAGAGATAGTCAAATCAATACCTTCTGTCCTGGACCTTGTTGGTTGGTCTACTCTTGGTGGCACTGTTCCATCTAAAAATACATGGAACAGCTCCTGGAACAAGCCTCTTTTTGTGCCCTCCCAGACCTCTTTTAATTTCACATTGCTTGAAGTGGTTAGAGCATACAAAAGTAATATTGCGACCAATCTGAAACAAAAAAAATTAACATCAATAAACATATTTAACAATGTAATTAAGTTTCTATTATTCAAAATAGTGAAGCTGTAAAAAATCTTATATGTATATAACCATTATTACAAAATCTATGGCCATAAAATGTTAAAAGTAGCATACATAAGGTAGAAGTTACCTGTATATTACCTTAATGTATGAACATTTTCAGTACAAGGATTGCTGAAAATAAACCTGACTTGCAGGATAGCAAAACGACCATAATCATAACATTTCATTAACCGGTAGTATCCTTTAATCAAAATAATATTTACATTTTTTTTCAGGCAGCCATAGAGACAGACATGCTTAGTCAATATAGATCAATAGGCCTAGGGCCCAAACCACAAATATTTATTACATAACTATTTCTCAAGTATAAGGTCGACTATTGTGTCAGTGTTACTTACTGGCATTGCATTCAAATAAATCTTTCCCCAGATTATCAACATTTAAATAAATAATACATTTTTTACATAACATTAGGTTTGCCGTCTGTTTATGTCAACCCATTTGATGAAGTTCGACACATGTACCACTACAGACAGGCTGCTTACCTGGAAGAAGTTGCTCACATCTCGACGTATGGCTGCGATCCATTTCCTCCTGAGATGCTTGTCTTTAGGAAAATTGAAAAAAGACAATTCCGAAGAAACTGCTTTTCTCCGATCGCTCGTACAGAATGGGACCGAACAGTGAGCCATTACTTCCTGTGTGTTGACACTACCTGTATAAGCAGCGATGCTCTCCAAGCCTCGCTTTCAAACCGGAAGTACCGAAGTGTGAAAAAGGTCAATTGACCATGATCTGGGCCGGTGTTGAAATCCACACTGGTATGATAGCTTCATTATGTGCTGATCGAACAGTCGTTGACTGACTGTGATTCAAATCAGCTATTAAATCCCATGCTGATCCTAAGTTGACCACCAACCATCACTCAAAACATTGGTGAAATACATACCACTGGTGGGCAAAATGTTTTGCATAGCCCCCACAATCTCCGACCATCTGCTATCAAAACCGAGTGTGAGCAGACCAAACCGACAGCCAACTCACTCCTGTCACTGACCTCGGAGCGTGTCGTGTCCTTGGTGAAACAGATCCGATGAATGGAGATTTGTTTCCCCCCTACGCTTCTTAGGTTCCTTGAGAAACCCCCTTGGCTGGATAGGGCAAGGCAATCGTAACCAATTTTTCCTTCTTTTTGGCTGCCTCCTTCCTCTTAGTAGTCGGCTAAGATTTGGCCAACTTCCCAAATTCCTCGCTAGGGAGAGATAAACATTAGAAGCATCTCACATTTTCTGTGTTTCAGGAAACCGGTAGCCTGCACTTTCAACACAAGTCATGTCTACCCCAAGCCACCCACACTTGGTGCAGGCAGGTGGAATGGACATCATCTTGGAAGCCCACCAAACTAAGCTACCATAGAGCCATTCAGGTTAACATACAGAAAGATTCTCTGGGCTATCTAAACCTCTTTGGCATCTTCTTTATTAATGTGTGTGACTACCAATCATGTGCTGTGAGAAGTTGACAGTGGGAAAGGACATCTGGTGAAAAATCTAAGGACTTTTATAGTGTGCATCTTCCCTAGGCAAGGGAGTTAAATGACTGTAAAAGTCAAGTTTCCACCCTTGCCGGACTAGGCTTGAATTTCTGGGCTCGATCATAGAGCCACCATTGGCTCTTATGAGTCATGTCCTTTCTATGTCCCTCCTATTGACCAATCAGATTCCAGCTCTTATATCACTTGAATCTGCTTCAAACGAAATTGTGTCACCCAGTCAAGACGATCTGATCAATAATCAGTAGTGATGAAACGGGTCTTACTTTGCGTTGTGCTGTTAACTTCTTTGCCTCAGGAAGATGACAGCAGAAATACATGATTTAGACACTGATGTAATAGAGGTTTATGTATTTGTAAAAATTATGTTGATTTGAAGCAAGAAGAGGATGAAGGGCAGATAAGTGAAAATGGGTAACCTACATCCAGGGGTGCATTCACGAGAGCTGTTTCACATTGTTATGGATATCCAAAATGAGAAGCAAATTGCACACTGTTATAATAGGCTAATATATAGTTACAGATAATAAGATTCCTGACAATAACACAACAATGTTTGCAGGTATCAATATGAAATTTGACATGAACAGTTGACCTGAAACATGCCGAATGCAGTACAATTTTGAAACAGAAAATGCCTCTATTTCCTTAAAAACAAAGTTGTAATCACTTCCAGTCTCAGCCATGATCTGCATCAAGATCAAATGGGCCCAAAAAGGTTTCGTCAACTTCACATCATGAATGCTCAGGGAATTGTATACACATGCTTTTCAGGATGTTTACTGCCAACCGAGTGAGCTTGACATTCAATGTCGTCTTGTTGCATTACTTGTTGCAAACTTAGGTGGTGTTGCAAACTTAGGTGGTGTTGCAAAAAAGAACACATAAAATTGAATGAATCTGAAATAACTTAATTATTTGACCTCTAGTGACCATGACCATATACGGAGGTCACCCTACCTTCAGATATCAGGATGAGCGAGTGAGGGCGAGGACGGATGGACAGAAGTGATGCAGCTCTTAGATGTTTACCACTTTGGTGAAACCCACGAGAATGTGAGTGAATGAGGACGGACGGATGGAAGTGATGCAGCTCTTAGACGTTTACCACTTTGGTGAAACCCACGAGAACGTGAGTGAGTGAGGACGGACGGATGGAAGTGATGGAGCTCTCAGATGTTTACCACTTTGGTGAAACCCACGAGAACGTGAGTGAATGAGGACGGACGGATGGAAGTGATGCAGCTCTTAGATGTTTACCACTTTGGTGAAACCCACGAGAACGTGAGTGAATGAGGATGGAAGGATGGAAGTGATGGAGCTCTCAGATGACTACTTTGGTGAAACCCACAAGAACGTGAGAGAGTGAGGACGGACGGATGGAAGTGATGGAGCTCTCAGATGTTTACCACTTTGGTGAAACCCACAAGAACGTGAGTGAGTGAGTGAGGACGGATGGAAGTGATGGAGCTCTCAGATGTTTACCACTTTGGTGAAACCCACAAGAACGTGAGTGAGTGAGTGAGGACGGATGGAAGTGATGGAGCTCTCAGATGTTTACCACTTTGGTGAAACCCACGAGAACGTGAGGGAGTGAGGACGGACGGATGGAAGTGATGGAGCTCTCAGATGTTTACCACTTTGGTGAAATCCACGAGAACGTGAGTGAATGAGGACGGACGGATGGAAGTGATGCAGCTCTTAGACGTTTACCACTTTGGTGAAGGTGAGGTGAAATGAGGTTTAACGTCGCGTCCAAGATTATTGCACTTATATAGCGATGTGCATGTACGTGTGTCCACTTTGGTGAAACCCAAGAGAACATGTATGGTGCTGACAAAGCTCAAAACAGAATCAGGGTGAACGCACAATCGCAGGTTTCTTATGTGCTCAAGGGACGCAACTCTGCACAGCGAATTGGATCCCCTTGATGAATGAGTCTCTAACAATTTGTTGAGAAAACCAATTGTGGCAGCAGCAGAGCTTAATGGGTGGAAAGGTTAAAGATACCACTGCTGGAATCATCCATGGGAGGTTTCAGCATCATAGGCCTCATAGAAGATGTAAAAAATGTAGAAGTTTCGAATACAGGGACAGACACAACGAATCAAATCATATGGATTAGATTTCCCATTTCATTTGTAAAATATGGAATAACTACATTTTTCTACAGGTGGAAGATCAGATTTAAATTTAATTACATGTCACAGGGCAATTCTTCTGTAAAATATAAAGTTACGATCCAAGTAGTTTTTTTAAATATCACATTTCACATGTTTTATAAACACCTCCAGCGCCAAGGGAATTTGTTAAATCTGAAATTGCCACATTATTCTAAAGGTGCAAGATCAGATTTCCTTTGCTACTGAAGGTGCAGGATGTAATCTCCAGCTTAAAGATAATGATTATGAACCAAACTAACATTGGCAAATACTGTAATGAAATGGTAACTGTGTCAGTCAGTGTTTTTGAAACAATTCACGTAATTGGGATCAATGTCATTTACTTGGATCGATGCTCATGATATTAATCACTGGATTGTCTGGTGCATACTTAATTATTTACAGACCGCTGCCATATAGCTGGAATATTGCTGAGTGTGGCATTAAACAACAAACCAACCAACCAGTCTTGGTTACCAAATAATAGGTTATTCATGGAGATATTCTGATGACCCTTCTCGGTGGTCGGGAGGAAAACCACAGGGCGATAGTGAATGTGCGATCCGCCTGACCAGGCAATTGATTTTTGTCAATAAAGTCCCACATTAAGCCAAGATGTACCTCTGCACATAGATGCATCGAGAGCATGGATTTCACTGACACGTGCCACAGTGGCCAAAGACAGGAGAAAGGCAGTTTTCTGTGTATGAGGGCCATTTCCACATTTTCCACAAGAGAAATGAGGAGGTGACGTAGAACCAGTCCTTTAATCACTGATCCACCTTACGGTAACCCCGAAGGATAGTGGCAAGTTCAGGAGCAGTGGCAAGATGGGTAAAACGGGAGGCGCCAAGGACTGAGTTAATGGCTGAAACATAACTGGCAATGGTACCTCCTGATAAATGTTTTGTCTCGTGCAATTAGACTAAGAAATCAGCTATGACCGAGTAGAAGCCACAGTAGGATCCATATCATGTTCACGACAATAAGCCTCTAAAAGTGCCATTTCTGGTAAGGAGGCCATAAAAAGGCATTGTGTCTAACGAATAGCATGAGCCGTTGCCGTAGTGAAATCCCTAGTCATCAATGCATCCTGCAAAGGACCAAACTCCTAGATCCCACGACTCTGGGCACGGGTGTGGTTGATGAATATGTGCATTTCTGATCAGACCGGGAAATATGGGGAGTTTTACGTCTGTCTCTCCGGCTGGGTTTCCAGTCAATGGCGAGTGCTTCAAGATCCCAAGCCTGAGCGTCCAGTAACGGTGATACAAATGTCTGAAGATGGTGGTTGTAAAGTGTGGCAAATAAGTCGATGTTTGGGTGGCCAAGGTTCTGGAATATCGTCTGGAAAAAATCCAGGTGTAACTGCCACTTCGTGGGGGTGAGATAGGGCGTCGGCATGAATGTTGGAAACACCAAGAATGTGATGAGCTCTCACCTCCAACAGGAGGTCTGTAGATGTTAATGTGCCAGTGGAGAAATGGGGTGATTCACAATCCTTCGTTCGATGCATCCATGAACAGGTGGTGAGTGGGAATGAAGTTGGTCAAAGAGATATCGTAGACGTTCGACTCGAGGGCCAACCAAGGGAGGTTAGGTTGAAGCGAGGCTGGGAGATATATGACCTGATCTGGTGTGTCCCGATCGAACCATGGTAAAAGAAAAATCTGCAGAGGATGTAACTGCAGGCGCCCATGCTGGGTCGAATACTGCGCTGATGTGAGCAAGCCGAGCAAGTATTGCCAATTGTGAATCAGGATTACCAACAACAGCCCTGCCTGGACCAAAGGTTGGAACGGGTTCTAACGTGTCTGCAGAATGAGGAGAAGACCTCGACATGAATAGTCCCCCGATGAAATGAAGGATCTGGAAGGGAATCAACTCTGACTTCTCAAAGTTGATTTCCCAGCCAAGCTGCTGAAGACACTGGAGTGTAAATCTGATCTGGTCATGAAGCAACCAAGGCGAAGGATCGCTCATCAAACAGTCGTTGATGTGAACTGAAAAGGATCTCCCGCTGGTGTAGGAACATGATAACAGTGAAAAGCCACAATGCAGAGATGCACAATGTAGAGATGGCAAACAGAACTTTCCACTGGTATGGACACCCCTTGAAAATAAACAGGAGATACCGACGTTGTGCCGGAAAGACGTGGGACATGTAAGTAGGCATCCTTGAGGTCGAGTGAGGCCAGGACCTCCTGGTTGGAAGGTGGATTCGAGCATCGGTAGCGTGACCATCCAAAACCGTCTGTGTGTCCAAAGTGTTGCACGCAAATAGTTGATTATACAAGGCTACATCAAATTTTTCTTCGGCACTAGGAAGAGGTGGGTGTAAAATCCCGGAGTAAGATCTGTTGGAGATAGGAGCTCTAAAGACCCCTTGTCCAACAGGATCCGAATGTTGTCCTGTAACGGCTCCATGTGAATGTCTGGGTATGGTAGTTGAAGGGGAGATACAGTGACTGGCAATTTTGCAATTTAGGGTAATCGGTACCCGTAACAAACAGAACGAATAACCCAGCGGTCCCAGAAGAGTTGACCCCAATTTTTGTAGAACCAATGGAGGAGACTGCCGACAGGAGAGTCGTGATGAGAGACGACCAGTGGCAAAACATGCCAGGCGCTGGTTGGTTGGTTGTTTAATGCCGCACTCAGCAATATTCCAACTATTCTGTAAATAATCGAGTCTTGACCAGACAATTCAGTGATTAATATCATGAGCATCGATCCACGCAATTGGGATTGATGACATGCATCAACCAAGTCAGCGAGCCTGACCACCTGATCTTGTTAGTCACCTCTTACAACAAGCATAGTTGCCTTTTCAGCAAGCATAGATTGCTGAAGACCTATTCTCACCCTGGTCTTCACTGGTCGCCAGTGCTCAAGGAGGGCTGAGTCCCCTTGTCAACCTGGCCTTAGGTGTCAAAGGTTATGTGAAAGGTTGAGTATGACGGAGGTTGATATGGTGTCTTCTGTGTGTACAGGGAACCCAGGCTGGTAATACACATCTGTAGTGCCTGATCAGTGGCTTTGGCCTGAGCATTAGAGAGAGATTTCTCATAAAACTTGTTCGTAAAGAGCTTCTCGGATGACCAGGGTTGACGTAATAAGTCAAACACAGGAGACGGGCGCCAACCAACCTTCTCAATTTTGGCCTGGCAAACCATAAGGAGGAGGGAGCCCGTGGTTTGGTAAGGAGTTGAGCAATGAGTCCTCCTGGAGATGAATGTTTTCATCTAGAGCTGAGAGCAATTCTCTCAAAAATATCCATCTTCCGCAGGCCAATCCGCTTAACCAAAGTAGACTGGGCAGAATCTGGAAAAATGTACATATTAAAAGTGATGGAGGCATTTCATGTTTACGACTGGCAAACAACTCTTCTGGACGTATTGATATGTTCTAAATTGATTTAGGGGGTTTGCCAAGTTGTATTTTCAACGTTTGACCCACAAATTTCATAAATGCAAAATGGCCACAACCGAAACTTAAAAATTCATTTTTGTCTTATCTGTGGTACCAAACATGCTAAGAACATAAACAAAACATAATTTTGTATGTTTTCAGGTACAATGTGATATAAATTGTCCTAGGCCGTCACATGAAAGAATCTGGCCTGTGTGAGTTGTGGATAGAATGTAATGTATTGGGTGCCAATGCAGCTCAGAATGTGATGTCCGGCAAAGGCTATGGTCGTGCAATGCGAACACACAAACTAACTTTGCAGGCTATGTGGCAAGTACTGCTCCCTCAACTCAATGAACATCTGGACTCTGTTGATGTTGAGCTTAGGAAAGACCTTAAATCTTTTGGGACATTGTCAGACACTGAAGATATTGCACATATGGTAGACACCCTGGCATCTGAGAGGTTCCACCAGCCAATCCTTAATTTCATCAAACTCCTAAAAGAAGAAGACCCGAATGCAGAATTCTGGTGGGAATACTTGATGATTGTCAGCATCTTACTTGATTTTACCAGGGCACAGTGTGATGGATCATGGGAACTCCACTTGTATGCTTTCAGACGTATGCTCCCTTTTTTCTCCAGATATGACCATGTAAACTATGCCCGATGGGGGACGGTCTACCTGGCTGAAATGGCCCAGCTCCCACCAAACATCTTGCGTGAGTTCCAGCAGGGAAATTTTGTGGTCAAACATGCAAACCGACGATTCAATCAAGTTTCTCCAGACCAAAGTACAGAATGGTTGAATGCCATTGGGAAATAGAGTGGGGGCTTGGTCGGCATCACCAAAGTAGCTTCTGCACTAAGCCAATGGACTCTGTCATATAACCTCAGGACGCTGATGGCATCACAGACTAAACTAATGCTCCATGAAACAACAGATGATAATGACGACATCTACACTCACAATGAGTGTACCAAAGGGAGAAGGACGAAAGATGATCGAGATGAAGCAAGACTGGTTACGTCGCTGAAGCAACATGGGGTCTTCCATAACAAAGTAGCGACACTACAGAACATGATCAACAAGGATCTGGCCACCGTTCCTATCCAAGAGTCGTTACTTGGAGCAGAATATCTTGGCAAAAAGCAGCTTGACAAGTTTGTTACGGAACGTATGTGCCTAGCACCAGCAAATGACGAGCATGTCGATCTCAAAGCTCCCATTCACAAGAATAAGGCTCTGACATTTGCCTCACTTTACACTGTTATGCAAGACATCAAAGGCAAACAATGTACAATAAAGATGGACAGAAACATTTTGCAAAGGCTAATAACATCTTATAGGGCAGGACGTGAGGTCAACTTGGACAACATCCTCCAGCATGAGCTTATGTTTGTTCTGCTCTTGCCACAACCAGCGGCAGCCTGCACTCAACGAACAAGTCTGTGCTAGCCAACATATTGACCAAGGATGTACTGACATCATCACCCGTTGCACTGGATGGACCAAGTTGCTTGCTGATTGATGGTCAGGCACTAGTGATGGCTCTCGGAAAACCCCGAAACATAAGCACATTTGGAGAATATGCAAAAGCATTTGCAGACGTTGTGTACAAGATGGGAGCCAACTTTCAGAGGATTGATGTTACGTTTGATCGCTACAGACCAGAGTCAATCAAAGCAGGAACGAGGACCAAGCGTAAGAAAGGAAAACAACTAGTACGACAATTTATTGAAAGTGAGTCAGTTCCGCTGCCATCTGATTGGTCCAAATTCATGGCACTTGAAGATAACAAGGCAGATCTTGCCTTGTTACTGTCCAACTATTTGATAGATCTTAGACCTAGTGGTCAAACAGTGGTTGTTGCAGGCGGATTCACCGAAGCTACGGTTGCAAAGTCATCAGATCCAAAACTAGATTTGTCTTTGATTGATCATGATCATGAGGAAGCTGATACACGCCTAATTTTGCACTGTATTCATGCTCATATGGAGTCAATGATTGTGTCTGTATGCGACACAGATGTCCTTGTGTTGCTCCTAGCTCACTTCAACAAAATGGGATGCACGAACCTGCTGATGAAAGCTGGAACATCAAAACATCCTAAATATACCCCAGTACATGAGATTCATGTCAATTACCCATCGACCAAATATCATCACTGATAGCTTTCCATGCAATTACTGGATGTGACAGTGTTTCCCAACTCAGTGGTCACAGCAAGAAGACGGCCTGGCGTGTCTTCCAGCATCAACACAGCAACTTGAGCCATCTGGGAATGGGTAACTTCACCGACGACATCTCAAAATCTGCAGAGAAGTTCATCTGTCAGCTATATGGAGTACACGAGGCAGACACGTGTGACGAGGTACGAGTTAAATTGTTCTGCATAGGACGAGCACAAGAAGCCTTTACCCCCACATCTGATGCGGCACGATTTCACATCATGAGAAGCCATTACCAAGACAGTGTCTGGATTCAAGCCCACATTCTTTCCATGGTAACAGATATGGGTTGGGATCGCAAAGATGGGCAGCTGGTACCACGACTTCTTTCTCTACCGCCCATCCCAAAAGCTTGCTCAGAGATCATGTCATGTGGATGCTCCAAGGAATGCCTGAGTAAGCTCTGTAGCTGCAGGAAAATGCGCTTACCGTGCATTGAAGCTTGCAAATGTCACAAGCACGCCGAAGAATGCAGGAACATTCTACCTGATCATACATAAACTATGTCACCAAGTGGCCCTCCACACACAGTTATGTAAAATTACAACAATTTAAAATAAAAGATAAAAAGTTTCATATTTCTGCAATGTTATATATGCATCATGCATGGATTGATATTTAATATGAAAAAAGTTATAGAGATAAGATTTCACATTCACTATGAAGCTCATTCCTATACCACGTTGATCAGTGACAAGACTGTGTTAATTTTCATGAAAAATGGTAACGGTGAAGGCAAACAACTATATTTAACTATAGCTGTATTATTTACAGTTAGTTTCTCCCACATAACAGCCATAATAGTATGATAAAGTAAAGTCACTTATGTAAATAAGACTCTGTTTGCATCAGACGCAGTTATTAATCGAATTTGCCCCAATATGGCGACCATCTTGATTTCTTGACATATTGAGGGTTATGGTTTCATTGGATTCCTTGTACATGAAAACAAACAGAGAAATGTTTTATTTGTGGTCCCGCCATGTTTAGTACCAAAGATATGACAAGAATTAATTTTTAATGTTTCGGTGACGGCCATTTGTAATTTATCAAATTTGTGGGTTAACCGTTGAAAATACAGCCGGGCAAACCCCCTAAATCAATTTAGAACATATCAATACGTCGAGAACAGTTGTTTGCCAGCCGTAAACATGAAATGCCTCCACCATCACCATTTTCTGAAAATGTGCCTAGTCTAAAGTGGACCAAGGTAGTATTAAGCAACAATGGTAGAATGTCAGAATCGACGGACATCTATCGTTGATCAACCTTGGGGTGCGAGGCCATGGAACGACCCAAAGTTTTAGCATTGTCTGCAATTTGGGGGGAGGCGCTGACATTCAAAATCCCATGCAATTGATGAAAGCGGGATGATGTGATGGCAGGTTTGGGAAGCGAACCCTTAAGCCTGAAGAATGAGGAACAGGGATTGTGTAAGATGGCGTAGTATTCTTGGGATTTCACAGAAGGAAGTGCGACAGGCTCCTCGAGTTTAAGGACATCCATGATTCACAGGATCTGATCCTTTGAAGTGTAGAGTGGCTGCTCCTCAGCCTTAGAGGTAACAACACTAGGCGCTGAAAAACAAGGAGGTCCTTGGTGAAGAGTGTACACACATGGAAGCCTAGTCAGGAGACGACAAGTGGGATCTGGGTGAGCGAGTTAAAATTTAACATCGCATCGGCATTATTTCCGCCATATAGCGACGAGACCAAGTTAATATATTTACAATTTAGTTATTAATGCAATTTTTTATTTAAAAATGATTGACCATAACATGATGTATACAGTTTTAAAACACGGGTAATAGGCCACCAATAACCAATATGACATCGTCGTAAAACGACCTCGTCATGTCTTGACTGACAACCCAAGAAGGTTTGACCGATTGTTTTAATTCGTGAAGTATATTGCTTCCTACCTGGGTGTCCCACCTCTTTTGCATGAGATCCCGAGTCTAACTTCTTATAGTTGGTTTGACATCGCTGTACGGGACAAGCAGTGGAGATAACGGTTTGTCAAGAGCTGCTTTAGCTGCAGCATCGGCTTTTAAGTTACTTGTTATGCCTACATGACTTGGTGGCACTTGTAACTTTGCCACCATCCTTGGACCCATCTGTAAAAATGGACCTGTGAGAATTATATTTTGTTGGCAATAGGTTGTACACTTGTTGATGAACCAAAGGATTTGTTTTTGAATTTTTTAGTTGGGTTAGAGTGAGGTCTACCTCTGGCTTCACCATCTGCCAGGGAGGAGAAGAAGATAGAAGACGGTAAGGTGATATAATATTTAAATCTATTTTAGCTGCGGTGATGTGTGATAGAATTCTGATTCCAAGTGGTGGAACCAGGTTTGATGGTTTTCGAAACAGGTTTTCATATTGAGGGTGGAAAACACAATTGAATGCTTGATTTAATTTATTTGAATGCAATTTAGTAATGTATTGCAGTGAGAGTTTAATGTGGCGCTGTTCGAGTGAAGGTTCCTCGGCCTCCACATACAAACTGTCCACATTAGATGTCCTAAAAGCTCCGAGACAGAGTCTTAGGCCTTAATGGTGTATAGTGTCAAATTTTTCTAAATTGCTTTTGCAAGCTCCACCATAGACAATGGAACCATAGTCTAGTTTGGAGCATATTAGCAATCTGTACAAATGAAGGAGGATTGTCTGATCCCCTCCCCACTTGGAATTGGACATAACTTTTAACAAGTCGAGAGCCTTTAGATATCTCGTGTGGTAAGAATGTCAGATGATGGTAAAATATGAGGACCAGGAATTTGGCCTCCTCTACTACTTTGAAAGGAGTACCATCTAAAAATAAATCTTGATCCTTGTGAGGTTTACATTTACGACAAAAGGGAATACAGTTTGTTTTGGATTTATAAAATTTAAAGATGTTTTCGTTCACCCATTTTTGAATTTTGTTAAGACAGAGCTGTAGCTGTCTTTCTATCGTATTCATATTCTTACCACAACAAGGAATGTTGAAATTGTCCACAAAAAGTGAACCATCAACGCTATTGTTTGATACTTTAGTGAGACTATAAATTTTTATGCTGAAAAGTGTGACAGATAGTATGCTGCCTTGAGGGACACCCTGATCTTGATCGAAACGATCAGACAGGGTAGAGCCCACTCGTACTTGAAATTGTCTGTTGTTTAAAAATTGAGATATGAACTGAGGTAATCTGCCCCTCAATCCAAATTCATGCAAATCTTTAAAATACCATGTTTCCATGTTGTATCATATGCCTTCCCTAGATCTAAAAAGATTGATACAGTATGTTGTTTGTTGACAATGGAATTTTTAATAAATGATTCTAAACACACCATATGGTCAATGGTACTTCTGTTTTTTTCGGAAACCACACTGGATATCACTGAGTGGGTTATTGGCCTCCAAGTACCAGACTAATCGATTGTTGACCATGCGCTCCATGTGCTGTATGATCCCGTCCAGGCTTTGGAATAGGAATAATATAGCATTGTGCCATGAAGGAGGGAAATTTCCGGTTGTACATATTTCATCAAATATATTCAGTAACATTTCTAAACGTGAATCAGGCAATTGTTTCAGGAGCTGATAGTGGATGTTGTCGGCTCCTGCTGCAGTGTCATGAGACTGCCCTAGGGCAGTATGTAATTCATGGAGTGAAAATGTTTCATTATAGTCCTCACCATTATCAGAGTTAAAATGAACTTTTTTCTTTTCCTGCTGTTTTTGAAACCTCTAAAATTGAGGATTTTAGTTTGATGATGAGGAATGGTTTGCCAAAGTATCACCAAGTTCGGCAATTTCGGATTTAGTAGTTAAAAGTGTATTACCATCTTTGAGATGGTGAACTCCAGATTTGGATCCTTTGCCCTTAATTTTTTTAATCATGTTCCACACCTTGGACATGGGTGTGCGTGAATTGATTTTTGATACATAGTTCTTCCAGAATTGATGTTTATTTTGTCTTGCTTTAGCACCCGTGATTTTAACATTATTCAAGTTGTGGACAGTTGGATGTCATTGGAAATATTTTCTCGGCTTACTTCATATTTTTCCTAGATTGTTTACAATTATTATCAAACCATGGTTTACGTATATGAGGGTTTGCAGAGGACTTAGGAATGCTTTCGTCTCCAATAGCATTTAATATATCTGAAAAAAGTTGTATAGGATCAGGAACATTCCTGAAACTTTCAGGTTTTAGTTTTTAGTACATAGTGTTTGGAATAAAGACCAGTTGGTCTTTGTAAAGTTCCACCTTATTGAAGGTGGTTCGTCTGACGGATTAATAGTTGTAATTATTGTTGGAAAATGGTCACTTCCACAAAGGTCATCATGGACCGACCACTCGAATTCATTTAAAATAATTGAATCTGTCAGTGAAAGATCTAGGGCAGAGTGTGTGCCAGTGGCAGGATGGAGATATGTATTATTACCATCATTGAAGATGCATAAATCATTGTTCGAGATAAAATCTTCAAACACTTTTCCCTTATATTTTGTATCAGTACTCCCCGATAGGGGATTATGACCGTTTAAATCGCAAATGATGATACAGGGCTTTGGAAGCTGATCGTACAAAGTCTGAAGATCTGATTGACGGATAGTTGAGGAAGGTGGAAGATACATTGAACACAGTAAAATCTTGGATTAAAAGTTGTATTTCATTAAAGTTTTTCTTATGACCTCTGCAATTTCATTGCATTATGTTTTGTGGATTCATGGTGGTGCTTCCACTGGAGAAATGTCACGCGAATGTGAGGAAGACTTTGTGGTACTCCTATCGGTTTCATGTGGAGATGGAGTTACCAAAGGAGTTATGGACCTCTACTGGGACCTCCAAAGGAGAGGTGGCCATTTGTGTTTGCAGCTGTTGTTTTTGCTGCTTCTTTCTCAATAATTTCTTTTCCGTTTGTAAGTTTAGCAATTTCTGGTTCTGATTCTGATCCAGGTGTTGGTTTAGGAGTCTGAGACTCAACATTTTTTACAGTTTTTTGTTTTGCAGGAGTCACAGACTAAGGTGTCACAGCTGGTTTATGGAGTGAAGCAGTAGGAAGTGGCTGAACAGACTTGACCCATGTCAGATCAGTCTGGCAGTCGAGAGAGGCAGTAGTGACAGGAGGACGAGATTTGGTTGGTTGGTTTGTTGTTTAACGCCGCACTCAGCAATATTCCAGCTATATGACGGCGGTCTGTAAATAATCGAGTCTGGACCAGACAATCCAGTGATTAATATCATGAGCATCGAGCCACGCAATAACCAAGTCAGCAAGCCTGACCACCCGATCCCGTTAGTCGCCTTTTACGACAAGCATAGTCGCCTTTTACGGCAAGCATGGGTTGCTGAAGACCTATTCTACCCCGGAATCTTCACGGCCCGGAGGACGAGAGACAGCAGCAGAGTAAGAGAGAGTAGAAGTGGTTGTGGTAAGACCTACAACCCTCTTCTAGCTTCGTGGTACGAGACTATTTGTTCTGTTTTGACTTAATGATTTGGGACTCGCGTTTCCACACTGGACAGAATTTCGAAGAAGCCATATGGTTCCCACCACAGTTTGTACACTTCACATCCTTCCTGCAGTCAGTGGCCTCGTAACAAACAGCAGGACTTGGATTGTCATGTTCCTTGGCTAAATCGTGTATTTTCAACAGTCTCTATATGTCGTCTTTTTGAACCAGGGTGATGGGAAGCCATGTATAATAATTCTGCACCCTTTTTCCCAACTCACCATGGA